GGGAATATTCACAGGATGGTACTGTTATGAACTGTAGCCACATTTCTCTTCACAGAGAAAAGCAAGGCACAACTTTCCAAGGATTTTCTGGGATTCACTTTCTCTGAACCTCAGAGAAAGAAAAAAAAAAAAATTCTTATTTCATTAACTGCTCCTATATTTTGGAACAAGTGGAATGCATTGTGGAAGATTGTTTACCTGAAGGGAATTGGTAATTGGATTCTGGTGAGTATTTTGATTCATTGACCAATTGAATCCAGGCGTGTGTGTTGGGACTATCAGCTGACAGTCACAAGATTCCGTGCAGTGGAGTGGAGTGCTTGTGCAGATTCAGTTTAGATGTAGTGTAATATAGAGTAACATAATATACAATAATACAAGTATAATAAAGTAATTAATTAGCCTTCTGAATCATGGAGTCAGATGTATAATTTCTCCCCTTCTCTGGGGTCACTCTGCTTTTATTATACTGAACTATCTGTGTGGAATTTGAAAACAAGGAAGTTATAGCCTCACAGACTGCACCAGGACTCAGTTAAATAACTGAGTTCACTCCCAACATGGGAGAGCACAGTACAGACATCAGTGCAAGCGGGGAAAGGCAATTCTGTGAATTTCACAGCCCAAAACTTGCACTGCAGTACACACTGCTTTCATCTGAAACAGCCATTGTACTCGACCCAGTGCTCCATGCTTTACATAAGGCCAGCACAGTTTTATATTCTGCTGACATGCTATGCATCATAATTGACCTATACACTTAATTAAAAGCAATGAGTAAAGTAAGTGAAATTTAACCTTAATCAGCACCCAAAGACATCAGTATCTCTCATGTCACCCTGAAGCATCAGGACAGCCAGAACAATATTTATTTCAGGTACGCACCAGAAAGTTTTAATTTTTCTGAGTTACCAAAATCTGAAAATATCATGAGGAAATATATAAAAATAAAAAATATCTGATGCATTTTCTTATCTTGAGCTGTTCAGGTCAAATATTCCATAAGAAGATAGTTTCTTTTATAAACTATTTTATAGTTGTTAAGCACCTATGAATTTCAAAGAAACTAAACACATTTTCTTAGATGAACTGGCTAGAAAAATGAAACAACGAAAGGGAAAAGGAAAAAAAAAAAGAAAAAAGATTAGTGTGATTTTGATAATGTAAATTGGGACCAAAAGTAGAAAACTGTACAAATGTGGCAGAAGGATTACAGTTTCTCCCTCATGTAAACCATCACTTACTCAAAGAGGAGAAAAATAAAATGGAATTTAGCAGCTTGCATTAACAGAAGGAGCCAAATATTAGACCAAGATAAAAATTATCATGCTTCAAGATAAATACAAGGGGTTGAACACATGCTAACACACTGACTGAAACTCAACAGACTACTTCATAGAAGCAAGACTGCTGTCCATGGGTGTTTTTAGGGGCAAATGCAAAATGAAAGAACAATTATTTTTGCTGAATATATTATTATATTTTATTTTTATCTAAATGTTCCATCTTCTGGATTAGAAATAGGAAAATCCTTGGTCTGCTGGAAGAGAATATACCCAGTCTCATGCAGCTTGAGAGTCTAGAAAAGTATTTATGCATGAACTCAGCTACAGGTCTGCACATTACACACAATCTGTGGAGGTTAACCAGAGACTGAAAGGTCAGGAGACTGAAAGGTTTTTCCAGGTCAAAGTTGAATATTCTTCTGTGTCCTTTCCAGAGACCAGAAATTACATCTGTGAAGCCTGTTTGCTTATCCAGTCAACACTGTGACATTCCAAGTTTACTGGATGTAGTATCATGATGAAAAGTGGTGCCATATAATCCAAATTGTTTTTAAGGTATCTGTGTTATTTTCTTTGACAAAGTATTTGGGGAAAGGACTCGATCAAGACAAATATCTACAAAATGTACAGCATTAATGAAAGAACTAGTTTATTAGAACTTACTTTAAATAAGAGCTTGTTTGTAGAAATTTCTGTATGCAAAAAGGAAAGCAGAAAAATATGTTGCTACAGAAGTAGTAAGAAATTTTGCCTGTGTTTAGTTGAAAGTACTACCTGGAAAAAATGCCAATACAGCATGTATTACTATTCAGTTTTACTTAATCTCTTTTCTGCTTAATTTATGTTTTCTTGCAGTGTGTTTCCATTTCAGTGTTTTTTCTTTCAATCTCATCAGAATTTTGGACTTTTGCAGGTATGAAAAACTAGAAAATTACCACTGTTATTAGCATTAATCAAGCATACCTTATGAGAATTATTTTTCAAACAAAAGCAATTTTACAGTAGAAAATAAATAAATGAAATGCTACATCATGGATTGCCCTGACTGAAAAAGAGTACTTCGACATCTCAGATGGTCCAAAGCATTTTGAAGTGACATGACAATATGCCAAGATATAGAAAAATGCAAGACAGCTTGATGAGAGGGGTTCTGAAGAAGTTGTCAAGACAACCTCATGCCAAAGGACACAGAGAAAGCTGAGGCACTTAGTGATTTTTTTGCCTTTGTCTCTGCTGGCAAGGGCTGCTCTCTGTCCTCCCAGTTCTGCATGTCTGGTAGCAAAGACCTGGAGAGGACAAGCTACTCATGGCAGCTGGCAGCTGAGTGAGGGACTACTTCACCTGGATGTGCATGAGCCCATGGCACCCAAGGGTGCTGAGAGGGCTAGCTGGTGCTGCTGCAAGGCTGCCAAAGTCTAACCAGCAGCTGCTAAGGAGTCCTTCACTGCTGAAAGGGAGAAAGAAGTAGAAGATGCTCCATGCTGGCAGGGATGGTGGGTGCATTGGAGGGCAGCCCTGCCAGTCAGGAGGAGCTGGACAAGCTGCAGAAATGTGTTGGCAGGAATATCATGGGCTCAGGCAGACCCTTAGTTCCTCACCTGCAACACTTTGATGAAGTCTGGCCCATGGCTGTGTAAAAAAACTCCTTTGCCTTAGAGGACCCAGAGACTTTTGGGCCCTCACACAAAAGAAGCAAAGTCCAGCTGAGGAAGATGGTTTTTCTTAGCTTGGAATACAGAAAGGTAAGGGGGGAACTTAATTGCAGTCTTCCACTATTTGCAAGCAGTTTCTAGAGAAGATGCAGCCTTTTCTTCTCAGAGACACACAGACAAAGGGCAAGATGCAATGATTACAAGCTACAACAGGTCTTTCACGATGACACCAGTGAAACAGTCTGACTAAAATTTATGGGGAATCTCCATCCTCGGAGATTTTCTAAACCCTACTTTTGAAAAAAAGTCTACAGACAAGGCCTGAGAAACCTGCTCTGATATTGAAGTCTGCCCTGTTTAAAGCAGGAGATTGGACTAGATGAGCTCTTTATAACCATTTAACCTAAAATAGTCTGTCATACTACACTTCAAGCTGCATTGCCTTACAAGAGCTGAAATTTTAGTTTCCAATAATTTTTTTCTAAGAGTCATCCTTGAAAGTACATCTACATAAGGGAAATACAATGACTGAACACACACATACTCCTCATGGAAGTTACAAATTTTTCAATGTATTGTAGGAGGAAGAGCTCTAGCTATGAATTTTGGTCCCAGGGTAATCAGTATCAGACTTCCATAATGGTCTAAAAGAACAACATAATAGATCATGCATTATCACAAGGAAGTATAAATTATCTCTACAATTGCTTTGAAAGAAAGATTGTAAACTCAGTTCAGTAAAAGCTAATTCTAACCTTCTAATGACAGGAATGTCAATCTTTAATTTCAGTATTGAAATCAAAGGATTTGACTCCTGCTAATTTGAACCTTTCAGAACACAAACCTCCTGGAAAACTTATGAAGATCAAATTTCCTCCTTGCTTCAGGAGGAAAACAAATGTGAAAAAACAGAATTTCCTGCAAGACAGAAGTGCTATGTTTCTCTCAGCTGCATAATTGAATACTGTTGAGCACCATTCCTCTCAAGAGCTCAAAATATATTTTGAACTACAATGCAAAAAAAATTATCACCGTTTCCCCATATCCAAAAAATGTGAGAACACTCATGTTCATCTTTGCCTATTATGGCTTACTGCCTTCCCTCAATGGTTTTAATTAAGATGTTGTGAGGGTTCAAATACACAAAAAAAAAAAAAAAATTGGCTTATGAATTTTTCCCCTGTGATCTAATATGAGGTTTTTATTTGCAGAAGGCAAATTATGGAGACATTATGATGCCTTTCTTCACAGAGACCTTTTAAAAAAGTGAGATTTTTTTTTTTTATTTCCAAAATATATATTTTTAACCAGAAGGTAATACTTACTCTACAGACAAGTACATAGAGCTGTACTAGTTTTGGCTAAATTAAGTTAATTTTTATAATTGTAGCTCAGAGGGTGCTATATTTGGGATTTGTGACCAAAGCAGTGTTGATAACACAGAAACATTCATTATTGCTGAACAGTGCTTGCACAGGATTATGGCATTTTCTGCACGTCACCTCACCCCACCAGTGAGGAGGCTGGGAGTGCACAGGAAGCTGTGAGGGGACACAGCCAGGACAGCTGACCCCAGCTGACCCAAGAGAAATTCCCTAACATATGGCATTGTGCTCAGCATGTAAAGCTGAGGGAAGAAGAAGGAACAGGGGGGCATTTGGAGTGATGGTGTTTGTCTTCCCAAGACACCATCACCTGAGCCCTGCTCTCCTGGGGACGGCTGAACACCTGCCTGCCCTTGGGAAGCAATGAATTAATTCCTTGTTATGTTTTGCTTGTGTGCATGTGGCCTTTGGTTTCCCTATTAAAGTGTCTTTATCTCAACCCATGGGTTTTCTCACTTTTACTCTTCTGATTCTCTTCCCCATCCAAACCAGGGGATGTGACTGAGTGATTATGTGGGGCTGAGCTGTTGGATGGGGTTAAACCACAACAGCACTAAACAGAAAAGGCCAAGGACAAATTAGTCACCCAGTTAAGGGAACAATGACCCCCATCCTCACAAGAAAGCACAGCATTTTCTCAGGAATGACTTCCAAAATATCTTCTTTATCAAAGTTACCTTTTTCTCCTGGAGGTCCAACTCTGCCCGGACGACCTGGAGCGCCTTTCTCCCCCTTTTCTCCAGCCTCCCCTGTTGATACAAAAGTAAACAAAAAGAAGAATCATATTAAACCAGGACTGTTTTCTGTTAGCAGCTGTGACAAGAATGCCATTCTCTCCAGTGAAAAAAATAGAAGCAGATGTGATCTGATTTAACAGCTTTACCTGATGGACAGAAAATAGATTTTTCATCAATTGATGCAGACACTGGAAAATCCTGTCAATACATTACTGAAGTCTCATACAACATACAACAGGTCTAGTTTTGTGGATGTTACTTATATCACTGACCTTCAAAAAGCCAACAGCACAATTCACTTAAGCAGAAGCTTCAGTATCAGTCCCCAACTTAGCACATAAACGTCTGTGTTCACCAAACTCTTTCCAATCCTCTGCTAAGGACATGCTTAAGTCTCAAGTGAAAATGGCTTAACTGTGACCTCAAATTAAAAAAAAAAAAAAAAAAAAGCCATTTTTTATGAGCATCCTCTTCTTATAGAGACCTATAAGAAGGCACTCCCACATCCATCATTAGAGGACCAATTTTAAGCATGAAAGCATTAACTCTCTACTTTGTAGCCTCAGTTAAATACTGTGCTTTTAAATCTCTGAGGTGTGAACCACTATGTAGTGTATTTACATGCACAAAGCTTGTGGTACATCATTATATTCAGCATATTTGAACATCACTTTCTGTAAAAGGTGTTTGCCTCCCTGGTGCCTTTCATTAAAATTTGGGGATGCTTAGCTTGTTTTGCCCACTACAGCTACACTACGACTGTAGTCTGCCATGACAAAATTAAAATATCTGACAAACAGAAGGTTAAAGAATTATTTATACAGCCACCTTGACAAAACTAGATTTATATGAGGAAGGAGAAGAAAGGCCTATGACTTCCACAGAAAATGAAGTGCTGGTATGTAAGATCCAGAGTTAGCACAGAACTTATGATATCCCAATACTGTTTTTCTTTGGAGGAGAGTGAGCTTTAGCTGCTCTCCAGGAAGCTGATGGAAGCACCACAGCAGGAAAGTCAATGGTTGTCATGCACCCCACAAGCCCAGATCTCTGGCATAGCTGGCAGCTGTGGTTCAGAGAGGAGTCACAGAGATGACATGTAAAAACCTGTCACACCATGGCACATTTCAAATATGCAGCCTCCCATTCACTTTTCATCTCTCTCTTTATTGTAGACCTAGGTGGCTGTGAGCAGAGCTCAGCCCTCCATCTGTTATATTTTCATTCTTCAGGCTGCTCCAGACCATCTTCCCTGCCTTCAGACATGCAAAAATAGGCCATTTTCTGACCTTAATGAGGACAAATTTCACATAACCCCCAGTGAATAATATTGTTAGTATGAAACAGGCTATAATTTGGCACATTTGGGAACGTCACATTTTTATTATCAAGTAACCAATAGGCTTTGTATGATTGCCTTTCACCCCTCAGGGCTGGTTATGAGTTCTTTGCTTCCCAAAGATAAATCCTGACAATGACTTTTCCTTGCTCTCTGGAGGCTGAGAGGAGGCTATTACAGCCTATTGCTTTACACGTTCTTCAGAGTGAAAGCTGTGCATTAGGGATCAATAAAATAGATCACTCTTGCTCCAGGCCATTACACTTGCCTGCATTTATTCTTATAATACGATGACACCGCATTCCTTAGTGTGGGTGTTTTAAAAACTTTCTCCAGGAGGAGATTACTCCATTACAGGCCCAGCTACAGACCAGTCAACATTTTTTTTGTATCAGCTGTTTTGAGGAGCAAGACCTTGGCCAAGAGGGACTGACCAGTGGTACAGCACAGCTTAGCCTTGTGTAAGTCCCTGTTCTTGCTGTTTGTACCCTGAGCATTGTGAAAACTGAGGAAGTAAAGCCTGTGCAGGTATCATGGGCAACAAAACAGTTTTCTGCCAAGACATTTAAATCAATTTAATTTTTCACCAAAAACCAATAATGTTTAACTTCTTGATTTGTGAAATAAAGAAAGATGCCCCTGTGCCTCCTTTCTGGTCCCCAGTCCCTTGATCTACACCCAGGTCCCTTCAGAGCAGGAGGAGGGATCTGTGCATTATGGACCCTACCTGACTGATCTGTTGTGCCCTCTCCCACCAGCCACAGTCCCTTAGCACTTGCACCTCTGGCTCAGTCTCCTCTCCATCCCTCCCTGGATATTTGCTCCAGACCCACTGCAGGAAGCAGCACTTTCTTTGTCAGCACACAGCAGCATTGTCTCTGCAGCAGAGTCAGGGCGAGATGTAGTTACTAGTGCTCCACAGTGCTGAGATGCCCCATACTCCTGAAAGAAATTTAGCCCTGCCAAACTATGTGAGCTATTAAGCATTCCTGTCTGGTGATAACTTCTTTCCATTACTCATATTCCCCATGTGAGTAGATGCATCAAGTGTGGGTGTAAAAAAAATGGGTTTTTTAATGTAGCATTAATTTTTTAAGTATTGAACATCATTGAGACTATTAAGACAACTCCTGCTTTGGACTCTAGAAGGGAGACAAAACAAGATGGCAAGCTGAGAATTTAAGCTTTGAAGGACTGTTCTGTGTTATTTTTTTTTCTCCACAATAGTAGTAACTTCAATTTCATGTGCCTAGCAAAAGAAACTGGACTTTAGGAAGAATATGAGTGAGCTGTGTAGTGAGGCTTCATCATCCATTGCTTTTTCACACACAGCACACTTTTCTTATTGTTAATATTGCTGGCTTTCTAAAACATGGTTCAGTCTGCTGTCTGCATTCTCACAGCTATGTTTTTTTCCCCTAACACTTTTCATCTTACTCCTTTGTACTCTTGAGTTAAAAAAATAACTAACCCACCAAAACATGCTCCCCTAAAAAAACCCCACCAAAATTACTACAAAAAACAAAGCAAAAAAATCCACCAAAAAATCAAGCCAAAATAAAAACACCCCAAACATACAAAAAAACTCAAAACCAAACCAAACAAACAAAAAAAAAACACAAAAAAAACCAAAAAAAACAAAAAACCAAAAAAACAACAAAAAAAACCAAAACCAAAAAAAAAAACCCAAAACAAAAAAAAAAAAACAAAAAAAAACAACCAAACTAAAAGTCACCAAACCACAAACCACCAAAACCTGTCCCTAAGACCTAAACTGCTGACTTTAATCTCATTTGTGTTTTTGCTATTCTTGGTGTCTTCAGCAGCTTTCTTCCTCATCTATTTCCACCTCCATTCTCATCTCATGCCCTTTCTCTTCTGCTCTGTGGGATCTTAGCTGATTTTGAGTCATTTTGCATTTATTTAGTTTCCAGTCTCTCCACTCGGTCTGATTCTTGAGCTCCTCTTCCTTTGTTTTTCCCCTATTATCTCTTTGTGTTCTTCTAAAATTCCTTCTTTACACTCCCCTGCTTCTGTGTACTTTTCCCTGATGATTTTCTGCTTCATCACCCCATTTGGGCTCCACTTTTTGCACCACCTCCTAAGTGTCTATCCTCTGCCATTCACATATCCCATGGTCTCCCTAATTTCTCTCATTTTTTCCCTGTACCTGTTTCTTCCCAGATTCTGACAGAGCCATGCCCAGGAGCAGTGTGGCACTCTATTTCTCCACCACTGGAGATGTTGCTGGCGGCCCAGGGAAGAAGGAGGAGATGGTGGAGATCCAAAAGTTCCAGTGAGCAAATCCTGCTGCATGGCAGCTGAAATTTGGGCATGTGGCCACACGTGTGCTCAGTTTAAAGGAAGCCTTGGCCAGTGAAATGGGTTGGAGTTGTGCCAGTGGGGGACAGCAGTGCCTCATCACCACCTCTCTGAGCCAGTGCCCCTGACAGCATGGTTGGAGCATTGAAAGCTTCTTATGGATTTCACATTAACTAGGTCTGTATCAGGCCATTGTGTCCTTCACTGAATTTGTACATCAGTCTCTCAATTTTGCAAGGTTATATCTTGTGAAACAGAGTGAAGCCATTAACACACAGTGGCTTTCAGGCCTCTCTCTGGTTTCCAGGCTCAGAATTGTCATCTGCCAAAGGATCCTGCACAGTTTACACACTTTAAAAACCTCTGCTGCCCATAATAATAATAATAATAATAATAATAATAATTAATAATAATAGTAGTAGTAATAATAATAAATCTTGCATTACAATGGTAATCATAGGTGCTAATTTTGACTGATTACAAAAATAAGAAAATCAATGCAAAGAAGTCACAAAACTCATCCTGTCAAGTTTTTTGATATGAAAAATATTTTCAAAGCTTAGGGCTGTGAAATCTGACCCTTTGACTGATCTTTCAAGCAAATTTGGACAACATATATTTAACTTGGTTGTGTTCTCCTCTGTAAGTCACAATAAGAGCACTATCCTATGCCTTTTACACAGTAAATATACCAAACAAATTAAACTACTTTACTCAAAAGCCTTAGTTAAGCTTCAGAAGGCCTGGATATAGTGTTGTTCTCTCTAACTAGAAAATCTGCAGAAAGTCTACACATTATTGAGATCAAAAGCCATTTATTGAAGTAAATGGTAAAGTAAAAGTAAAGAATAGATTTTGGTTGAGTTCAGGCATCCAAAGCTGCATCTATAATAATAACAATAATAGACAAAGCAATAACAAATATTAAGAAATAAACATATTCTTAAAGCAAATTGGCTAAGCACAGCCTGCATCCCTGCAGCCCAGCTGTCTTGCCTCAAGCAGAGGGCGGCCACACACAAATTGGGCAATGACTGGAGAGGGTAGTTTACACCCCAGTCAAACCCCGAGCCAAGCTGGGCTCTCAGTTTAGCTGTGTGAACAACTGCAGAACAGAGCTGAGCTTCACCCTTAACCAGAACAGGCAAGGCCTGCAGTCCACACTGTGGCTCTCAGGCAACTCGGGAAAGCCCAGATTTGTACAGATAAGATTAATGGCAGCAATTGTGGTTAGGTGGGTTTTGTGACACTACAAGGCATAATTACAAGAAAAATTGAAAGGTTTGTTGTGTAGTTCTTACACAATCCTGGGGTTGCTTTTTTTTTTTTTTTTTTTTAGTGTTGATGATAAACTGGTGGTTTTCATGGGGTTTTTTTTGTCCTTAGTTAAAAAGTATTTCCCCGTGTTCAAAAGTGTTGTATTTCAACAGAAATGTCAAAGCCTCCACAAGGGGAATTATTGCTATTGACTAAACAGGGCTGGGATTTCAATAACCATAATGGATGCTGTTGCTTTAAAATGCTAATTCTTCCCAATGGTTGATTTTTTATGCAAGATATATTTTTCCTTATTAAAAGATCAATAATTTATTATACCACCTTCTTTGGGCAAGAGTTTGGGGGCATATTCTTTAAAAATGTTGCCTTAAAAAAAAAAACCCTATAGAAATGCCAAAAACCTAACTAATATTTGCTTTCTTCTAAGAGGTATTTGAGCTTTTAAAAAATGAAAAGAAGACAAACAAAAGACAAGAAAACACAAAATAATTCCTATTACATTGCAAAATGGAAATGAAAACCTTTCCAGGTATAAAGTAGGGCCTGATTTTACAGTTTTTGGGTATGTGTACCACTGCTCAGTATAAACACAGAGCATCTAGGCAATGTGTAAGAGTAACAAGCACTAGTGATCATGAGCAAATCTGGGAAACTGGCATCCATTCTCTGAATTATTTAATTTCACCTTATGGACCTTAAAACTCCATTTTTAAGGAGGCTACAAACAGGGGCAAATAAGAGGACAACTGAGAGGACAACTTCTTTGTCTCAGTTAAAACTGTCAGTTATGCAAATGAGCCTGTTAGAACAACAATATTAATATTTGAATAATGGAGTAGGCTTCCACATTACCTTTGAGGCCTGGAACAAGAATCTGAACAGAGCAGGACTCCTCTGCAATGTGTTGAGGATATCCAGATCTTAGCAGTGACAGGAAGGCAAGGCTAATTAGAGTCACCAAGAAAACCAGATCTCTCTTCATAATGAGCACTTACAGGTCACTGACTCCTGAACAAAAGAATGAATAAACAGTTATAAGAATTCCAAAAGCTTTCAACAGTTTCTAAACACATGCAGCATCCCACTACAAACAATATTTATTTGTGTGCCGTAACCCACACAGCATGAGAAGCACATGTGCAGCTCCTGCAAGCAGGTTATTTGTTCCTCAGACACACATGCAGCAGCACATTTGGCAGGTTTTTTTCCTGTTAGATTGGATGGGACAAAGCTCAGGAGAAATTTAATTAAACAAGAAGGAGATTAAACAATGCTAATCATAGGCAATTCTGTGTGCATGATTTCTCATTGGAGGCAGCTATCTGGAAAGGTGAAAGGAGACAATGCAGCATGTAGGCTGAGAATCACAGAATTTCTTAGGATGGAAGAGATCTCTAAGATCATCAGCCAACCATTAACCCAGGATTCCAAGTCTGCCACTAAGCCATGTCCCCAAGTGCCACATCTACATGTCTTTGAAATATGTCCAGGGATGGTGACTCAACCACTTCCCTGGGCAGCCTATTCCAGTGCTTGACAACCCTTTCCATGAAGTCATTTTTTCCTAATATACAATCTAAACTCCCTCTTGCACAACTTGAGGCCATTTCCTCTTGTCCTATTTCTTGTAACCTGGGAAAAAAGACCATCTCCACCCTGGCTACAACCTCCTCCCAAGTAATTGTAAAGAGCAATGAGGTCTCCCCTGCACCTCCTTTTCTCCCAGCTAAACCTCACAGGACTTGTGCTCTAGTCCCTTCACCAGCTCTGTTGCCCATCTCTGGACATACTCCAGCACCTCTATGTCCTTCTTGCAGTGAGGGGCCCAGAACTGAACACAGAATTTGAAGTGTAAACTCACTAGTGCCAAGTACAGGGGAAAATCACTGCCCTGGTCCTGCTGTCCACACCATTGCTGATAAAGGGCAGGATGTCTTTGGCCTTCTTGGCCTGAAGGTTGGCAGTACTAAGTTCCCACTTAGAGTGGATACTGCTCTAAAGAGGCAATTCAGTAACAGATGAGACCAACTCAAAGGCCTGAAAATTCACTCCCCATCTTCCTGAGCACTGGAGTTGTGCTCAGGCAAATTGTCTGATACAATAGCCCTCATATAAGTCATTGAGGGTGGAAGGCAGGTAATATTTCACTGTATCATTCAATAAAGTTGAATCAGAGTATTCAATAACTCCTGAAGAGAATCACCTTTGAAACATATCCTAGTCTAAGCTGACAAGTGAAATAGCTTGCCTGAAATTATGCTGTGAAGAGATGTCCCAGAAAACAACCAAACAGAAATTGAGTTTGTGTGAAAGGAGTGTAAAAAGCCAGTATTTAGGAGGCCTGTAAAAATACTTTGACAAAAGTGTTATTTATGTATTTCTGATACATTTTTCCAGTCTGTCCTTAACCAGAGCTCAGTAGCACACAAATAAGCTGAAAGTCATAACAGGTTTTTTATCATCTTTTATAGCCACCATAAGGGCATATGCATTTTACATCTAGAGAAAGAAGACGGGGCTATATTAATTTCCACTCCCTGAACCCCTTCAAAAATAAGCCAAGTAGGATTAGACACAGGTATGGGACCTAGAATGTGGGTCTGTATGCCTCAATATGTTGGGGATCTAGGAGAGTGGAACTGTTATCTTTGGGATGGCCTGAAGGTATTAACTGGCATAACAGACGTCTTAGCAGCAAGGCCAAGTAGATGATTTTGGAGATGGGGGAATAAACTGTCCCTCTGAATTACTGCCCAGTTTGTGCTTCCCCTAGGAGACCATAGTAAGGGAATCTGATGGGAGCAGACTTTGTCTCCTTCTTCATGTATGGAGGGCATTGCATGAGTTACAGGCCAGGTTTCTGTGCCTCACAACCCACTTGCTACACCATCTGTTGCTACATCCACATTGTGGGACAGGGGGATGCCACAATACACCCCTAAGTTCTTACTGATCATCCAGCTCTGGTGCAAAAACTTGTATATGCTATGAGCGCCTTTAGACCCAAATCTTTTCCCCAGGTTTCTTTCCAAAGGAGAGAGACCTGCAGCTGGAGGACCACACCTTACAAGATGATATCTATGCTTAGAGCTGGGAAGAGCTCTTGGGTCCAGAGATCTCGATACAGTCACAGTCTAATGAGCTACAGTAGGGCAGGAAACCCTGGGGAAAAGGTAATTCTAGGTAATTTTCCCATGGGGCAAGGGAGGAACAGGGACTATCTGAGGATTTCCACAACCTGCCATGCAGTCCTATAACAGGTCAGGCATAAGCTAGTTTATAGACAAGCTTTGCCAACCAGAAAGAATGCCTAGGAGAGTGTGGAACTGCTGCTCAAATATTTAGGCCATGGTAAGTTTTGTCACAATTGCAGCAATTGTCACTTGAGGCTTCTCAAGAGTACAGGGAAAAATTGACTTTTGCCACTCAAGGATGAGGAACAGGAGCTAGGGGAGAAGGTACACCATAAAGCCATGCATGGATCTGTTAGAATGTGTCCACAGGAGGGACACAAAGATGATCAGAGGGCTGGACCACCTCTCCTACAAAAACAGGCTGAGAGAATTGCAGCTGTTCAGCCTGGATGACGCCTTAGGCTTTAGCTTTCATATTTTTTCAGATTCTGTGCTGCCTTGGTGTGAGACTCTGAACTTCATATGAAGTGTTAGTAAGTTCACTTCACAAGATAGTTAGACAAAACAATCCTTTTCCAGGAGAACACCTGGTCACCAGCCTGCAGGACATCCTAGGCAGGATATCCCACCTTTTTTTATGTAATGGGAACATTTCAGGATTCAGAATATCAGACAAAGAGGATTTCAAGTCAAGTGGTTCAGATACCCAGCTGAAAGCCTGGAAATTAGACAGTTTCAACATGAAACTGGTGATAAGGATTCTTGACGGACAAATTGGAGAGTGGAATGAAACAGCCTGAGATGGAAGAAGAAATTGAAATTACAGTGGTGCTTCTGCCTCTGCATTAGTGAATAAAAGACAACGTCATTTCCTATCTGCATTTTATGAGGATGCAGATGTATCCAGACTCCAACTGAAAGATCAAAGGCTCCAGGTATGTTAAATATTAATCTGCCTTTGCAAACTCCTACACAGCTCAGAGACGAGACAGACATCAAGCAGCAGAGAACTGTCAAGGCTGCTTCTTGGCTCTGCTCAGCAGCCACATATGAAGGATTTTCTGGGGAAAACAAAATCTCCAACAAAGCTTCAGCACATTCCCTGCTGTCTGCTGCTGAGCTTACACGTCTCAGAAACAGAGGTGATACAACCCCACCCTACCACATATTAACTCACAGAGGAAATGGACTTGTTCTAGAAAAAGAAGATTTTTTAGCGTCATTCAGGTAACAACACCCAAATGCATAAGAATACTCGGAGAAATTACCTTGGTCTGAGAAGAGCCACTAACAGAAGGAATCTCTGAGGAGGTTGCATATCAAAAACTCTCTAAAGTCTGTGGTTGCAGTAAAGAGACACATTAATAGTAGAATCAAGACAAAAGCACTTTGTGTATCACTTTCTCCATCTCTGCCTTCTTTCAAAAGAAACCCTCTGCAGCTAAAATTTCTTTCTGTGATTGAAATAACAGTTTGATCTCCAGGTATGTGCTACAGCAGACACTTTCACTTTAAAATCCTAGAAGATTTCTTACCTTTCTGACCTATTTTTATGCCCTTTCAGACCTAGATGCATAAAGTCATTTAAGAAAACTAAATCTCACTAAAACTAGTCCTCAGATAAAGGACCAGGTTTGTTTTTTTTTCAAACAGTGGTTTGGCCCTAGTATTTGGAGTATCTGCAGCACTGGTAAAATCAATGCCAGAGATGAAACCTAGACATGTTCAGCACTTACAAAAGTATGAATATTTTCTCACTGCCTATGCAGGGGTCAAAGTCAAATTTATGGCCATTAACAGTGGTCATTAAATTAGTGAAAGCTGAATGTATTGGAAAAAAATAGGAGAAGAAAGAGTCAGCACTTAAAAAATAAAAATCAATAAAGTGCCTCGATTTCAATCAGAAATGAAAACATATCAATGTAACCAGGACAATAATTTCAAAACAACTTTTGAGACTTCTCAGCTTTAGGAAATCTGCCTCAGTCACCAAAAGAGAAGAGGTTTCTCAAGCCAAGCTTCAAATGACAAGTCCTTGAGAGGTCCTTGGAGAATCCCAAAGGCCCCACAGGCTCGCTCAAAACCACTGCAGGACCAGCCAGGCCAGCTGGCACTCATTGAGTTCCCACACTTCCCCCCAGCTCTGGGGAGATGGAAAGCTTGGAGATCACTTGAGCCAGATAATGCTTCATGCATGAAGTCCCTGTATCTACCAGTGGCTCCAAAAGTGCCAGTGGCTAATTCTATGCCATTATTTTGGACTTAGAAGAAACAACACAGATGATCTGCCAAGCTGAAACTAACTGGATGAAACATGCAGAAGACAAGTGATGCTTGCTGGCATTAATGCTCAGCCAGCCAATAGCTACAGAGTAACTGTAATCCTCTGTATAATCCTATAGGACTCATCTTTGAACTGGCTTTATTTCACTGAGTAGTTTTCACACTATGTTTTTGGGTTTTTTTTTCTATTATTCTTAAAATTATACTTCATTCTCAGGTATCTGAGCTGAATTATATTCTGAATTGAGTATATTTCTGGTACAGACACACAAATCTGCAGAGCCACAGCCACATTTGGTGAGTGACTTTCCCAAGCTGGTTTGAGTCAGCACTACAGACATGGCAATAACTTTCAACAGTTTTCACTCCCTGACTTTTCAAGTCCTCATCATCCACATCTCAACACTTCCCTGGCAGAACTCTCTGGCAGCTCATGTATCTTCAAGCCACCTGCAGGCCCTAAGCTGAATTCTAGGAGATGTAACACATGCCCACAAAATAGCAGGGTGTGACACAGTCCTCATGCTATTGCAAACATCTTGAAAGGAGAAAAGAGACGAAAAAAAATTAAATCCCAGGGCTACCACCAGT